GGACTCGTTAGCGTTCATTCAAAGATAGATTGATTAGTGATTCCGGGATCGTCAACTCCCGAAAGTTTCGTGCATGTTTCTTCCTACACGGCGGTTTGCGATGTTTTGCCCGACCAGGTATCTCCCACTACCGGTGCACACGCCTCAGCCGAGGCAAGCTCTAAGCTCCCGACTCGCCGCCGCTCGTGTGTGGTAGTGTAGGGCAGGTAAGTATGCGTGTGTATGTAAGGGGTAAGATAGGACAAGGAAAAAGAAGGAAATATATCGGGCGTTTCGTGGCCCGCTTGTTAAGGTTATGCTCCGGCATTCGCCTGGTATTGATCGGAGAAGCAACGAAAAACTTCCGATCAGAGCAGCTGGCTGCTAGAATTCTCCTCCAAACATCGGGTGAATTCGATCTAGCTGTGTAGCAAGTATTGATAAACCTGCCACCGTCGGGACTCGAATCCAAAGATATCCCGGTCAGAGGCACGCAGTAGCATCAGTTGCTGCCCTGAGTCACCTACGACTGCGGGATTCATACGAATTGTGCTGCGTAAGCGAAGAGCACGTCGTTTCAATCTCCATTCTCCGATAGTCTCCCTCTAAAGAATTGAGCGACTGGAATTGAATGAACCCTATGCCACTCAATTCCATTAGTCCATTCAGTAGTCCCGTAAGTATAGTGAATGTTTTATGACTAGGTAGCAATAGTCTCTAACCTGCTGAATGGTGACATACACTTACGGGTCCGCTTGCGCGGATTTACCTCTCTCCCAAAGGTGCACTGCCTCACCCGGGACAAGCTCCAAGATCCCAATTTGTGTGGGAGAGAAGCGCCTACAAGTGTAAATGTGTGTGTATGTGAAAAGCATGAGGGCTGGACAAGCACGAGGAAGAAATGATGGAGCGCAGTCCGTGACCAGTTTGTTACGGTTTTGCTCCGGCATTCATCTGGTATTGTCTGCTGCCCAGTCCGAATGTGATGAAGGGGGCAGTAAAAAGAGACGAGACAAGGAACTGATAATAGTACTGAAGTCGGTAACGGTTTGCAAACGCTTAAGAAGTGTAATTGGACCAAACGATAAAGACTGTCGAACGTTACATCAGAGTCAACGGTTCTGCTGCTGAGCTATTGCAGCCGGTAGCTATCCTCGGGGGAAAATCCGGAGGCCACCCAGGACAGCGCCGTTGCTACCACCGTTGAAAGGTTCGCGGGTACAAATCGCACCAGAGGCAAGGGCTAACATCCCTAACATGTAGGTATTGTGGTGACTTTTCGTTGGCATTTCCAATGAAATAATTATATGCGTCGTCATTGCCAACAATATTATTTATTAAAAAAGCAGCTTTCGATAGCTTAGCCATCATCATCAGATTTCTGCTGTCGTTTCTGTGGCTTCCATACAGCAGAAAACTGATGATGATGGCAAACCCATTGAAAGCTGCTTTTTTAATACATAATATTGTTGGCAATGGCGACGCATATAATTATTTCATCCCTAAAGTGACCATAAGCACAAGTGTAGGCAAGAGGTTGAGTGCACCGCCAAGAGTAACTCTAAGTAGACACACTAGCCAATTCGAAGGAGTGGTTTTCCCGCTGCCTCTGTTCTCTCGCCCAACGACACTGTGCCCAAACATCGTCTGACCTTTCGAGGAACCCTTTCACAGCACGACTGCCATTACTCAGCCTGAGTTTCGCCTCCAGCAGCTGCTCTATGGCCCCAGCAGCGCACAGTCTTTGATACGTTCTGGACGGTATGAATCTTTACGGCCAAAAGTCACTCAGGAGCTCCTATGCACACATGAAACATTGCATGCCGTACTTAAGACCTCAACTCCTGGCCAACTTTTTATGACAAAGTTGAATTGTGAATTGTTATGCTCACTTAAGCTTTCAACAATCCATTCCTATTCTAATACATGTTAATATTTACATTTTTAGCAACTAAATATAAACACACAGACGTTATTTCAAAAGCGTATTTGTCAAAACAAAATCCAGAAGTTCCGGACCAAATAATGCCTATGCAGACGCCTATGCAGACTGCGCTGCAGGCGTCTCCACGCAATACTACACACCAATGGCTTGTAAGAGTGAAGAAATGGAAGCATAACGTTAGCAGGATATTTCTCCATCACGCGAATCCGCAGCAGTGGGCAGACACGCCCCTCTCTTGCATTCCGACCTTGGTGTTTTATACTTCGCTAGAAATCCGGTCTCAATATGTTGTCTCCTACTCCGATGTTCTCAATTTTATACAGACTCCGTGCCCTCGTGTGCGTACTTCGCAGCTCTTTACAGACGCCGTGAGTCAGGTGGTGTCAATGAAAAAGGCAGCATTCAATGAGATTATATGATAGTGTTCGCTCCTGCTGAAACACACCTTTTCTGCGCTTTAGCTGAACTTTCTCTCTGCCGAGCAAAGCTCTGTGGTCTTAAGGCTATTTTACATGGCAGTATTGTGCACATTGGACCTACAGAAAGCGTACAGTCCATACTGAAAATTTCGAGCATGTTCAATAGGTGACAAGTTTTAAGGATTATAGGGCCTCTTTCTGATGCTATTAAGTTATTTTATAGGGATAATTTTTCATAAAAAAACCTAGTTTTACGTAGCAGCAGTATCGTTCACTATTGGATTTGTTTACGAAGGAAAAAATACGTTCTTTTCAATTTTGTGGTTAGTTTTCGTGTGATTTCTGAGGTTTTGTGTATTGCGTGGCGGATTGAAGTTCTCGGATTTTCTGGAGAGTTTATTTTACTGACTCTTGAGAATGTGAAGATACTGAATCTCACTTCTACAGTCAAGACTTCCTTCATTCGGATCGTACTTTCTGCGCACCCGCTGAAGTCTTCGCAGAACCATGCTTGTAGCGACAACGATGACGGTCTTTTTATTTTTTTCTCCCCTGCTTTATTACATAACTTTAAAAAGTTTAGATAAAGTAGATCAGAACGCACGAACACAAATGTTGCGAATGAGTGTTCTCGAACAGCGCAATTCGGAAATTCGTTTTCGTGCCAGCAGAGCACCCAGCGCCGCCGTGACAACTCGTATAGAAAACGTGCAAACCGTCTAAACACGACTTTTGGCTTTTATACTTCTAGTTTGGAATCTTGAAGTTTAAGCACATTTCTGTTTGATAATCTGCAGGAAAACACTATTTGTGTAAAAGGGCCTTTATGCCGCACAATTGTGACGAATGAAACCGTTCTTTTACTCTAAATAATACAATGGAAATTATGCAAATAAATGTTTGGCTAAAAATAATTACATTTATTTTTTGGAAGTTTAAAGCTTATACCCGATAGGATACAACAAAAAAAAGATGTATTAAGAGTTAAAAATTATCTAGATAATAAATTTATTCTTAAATTTTATGAAACTCTCATATCAAATTACGCGATAACTACGCTTAATGAGCACAACTGTTAAATGTTGTCTTACCTCACTCCAATAGCGGTCGACGAACTCCCAGTCCCCGTCGTCCAGGGATTGGCCGAACATGTAAGCACCGACCGACACCTCGGCGGCGCCTTCAGACACCATAGCAGCGCCCGTTTCCCAGGACACGTTCCCCGGCAGCAGGAACTCCAGGCGGGCTCCCAAGTAGGAGGCCACCGTTCGCATGAACTTCACGTCCAGCCCATCCACGTACTGCCCTCTTTCGAGGATCGCGTACGGCGGCCAGTCCATGGCCGTCACGCGCAGGAGGCAGCCGCGTAGTGAGTGTGCGTAGCTGGGGAAGCGCAGCTCTCCGATGGAACGGATCCTGCACGCAGGAAAGACTTCTTTTAAAAGTTTTCAATGCAAAATTATATTGCTGCACACGCTGTATTTCGCTCACGACCGTCCAGGTTGGTTGGTTGGTTGTTACGGGTGGTCCATATATTGCGTAACCCTGAAGAGGGGGAGGGGGTTTGAGGCAGCGTTACGATGCGTTACATACGTAGAGGTAAGACGTTATAGGATAGTGTTACGCCATGCTGATATTTATTTTTAAAATCTTTCAACATTTGCTGAAATAATTCCTTTTATTCAGTCTTATTCCAAAACATTAGTAAATTCAAAAGATATAAGAAATTAAAGACGTTATCTTCTATAAATTGTTACAATAAATGAAAATATTTTTAATCAATCATGTATTGATTAAATCTTTAGAGGGGCTTGTTGCAAGCGTTACGTAATTACTAGAGAGGGGTTCAAGCGTGCGTTACAAGGGGAAGAGGGAGTATTCAAAATACTTTACTTCAAAATACACAAATTTGCGTTAAGTAATTTATGGACGGTCCCTTAGTGATTCCGAACGCGTCAACTACTGGAGGGTCATTAATCCTGTAAGTGAAGTGCATGTTTGGTCCTCGGGAGGTGGCGGTGTGATTTTCCCCCGTTGGGTGGCGAAATCCGGCGCCAACCTACTGTCAGCTAGCGGAATTTTTCCCCAACCAGGTATCTCCAGCGAAGCACCGCCCGAGCCTGGACAAGCTCTGAGCTCCCGACCAGTCTCCCAGTGTCCGTGACCAGCACGGAATAGGGATTTGGTCACAACTAGCGATCATTACAACAGTATTTATTAAATTATCGGTAAGCTTCAACAGATCAATTTCAAATGAGAGTAGATGGATTTATTCTCCAGAGGGAGACACGTTTTTCTCATAGATACTGAACAGTAAAGAACGACGAAGAATAATAAGAATCAAGAAGAATAAAAACAACAAAACCTTTTATTCTATATACGGTGCAACTATATTATTAGTGTCTCGATTATGGAAAGTTCTGCTCGGTCGACGGGCCGGCACTCTTCGGGTAACTGGGCGCTCATCTTCCCTGGGAACCAGTAGAATTACCACTTTACAGGTGAGTATTAGCTTTAATTAAAATCAATAGTAGCTCGAAGTCACAAGTAATTGTAAATTAGTGCACTATCGTACCCACATTTCTAAACGAGGACATCCCCTCTGGGTACCTCCATAATGATTTTTATTAATTTTGTGAAATTGAATGTCACAAAAAAGTAAGCAAGATATAGAGAGGAAGTGGCATAAAAATGTCGAACTTAAAGGGCATGGAACAGATCTTTTGATCTTAACGTTTGCCTAATTACCTCTATCATACGGGCTTAGTGCCTAGAAGCGTATGTTGCCGGCTCACCTGGAAGGTCGCGGCGCGCTGCAGGGCCCGCGGGCGCC